GTTGCAAAGAGTTGGATACGACTGAGCGACCAAACTGAACTGAACTGAAGCGTCACTTGGGAATTCCTACATGCACAATCTTTCTAAAAGGGGCTCAACACCCTTTGTTTTCTTACCTGTTAGACTTTAAAATAGTGAATCTCCAGTATAATGAGGTAATTAGAATTTACTGGAAGGTACATTTTTAGAGCCTTTATATGTTATAATGGTAAGATGATATCTTTTTGTTCTTGTCATTGCTGTATTCCCAGCATCTAGCGCACTGCTTGATGTGTAGTCAACACTCAAGAAATATAGTTGAGAGGGAATCCCCCAATGGTCCAGTGGTTAGGCCTCTATACTTTCATTGCTGAGAGCCTGGGTTCAATCCTGATCAGAGAACTAAGATCCCACGAGCCTCCACTTGGTGTGGCCGAAAATGAATAAAAAGTAAGAAAACAAAAATATAGTTGAAAGGCAAATTTGAAGTTACATTTGAATCGTCAGCAATTTCTAAGTCATCAAAAATTACTTTATTATTAAAAGATATTGGTCTTTAAAAATTTTAGATCTAACTATGTTAGGGCAAGTTGCCACTATGCAAATATAATTTTAATGAAGTTAGTAGCTTCTTACTTACTAGCTTTTTCATACTTGGGTAAGGAAATGCCTTTCTAGGAGAGTGAACTTGTATACTGTATTAGTACACAAGTACTGATACTGCATTCTCTGTTACTGCATTTGACCACAACTTCATGGGAGACCTTACACCAGAGTTGCCCTGCCAAGCCATTCCTAAACGCTGACATGTGAGAAACTGTGAGAGATAATAAATATTAGAAATGTCATGTTTTGTGAAAGCATAATATAAAGAGTTTCATACATCTCATTTGAAGACTGTTCATCAGTAAATCACCCTGTCTTATTTCCTTTTGAAAAGGAGTGAAGCACTTTAGAAGAAAAAGATAAATCAAGCCATCATAACCAAGTTTCCTGAGTCAAAATGTAAAATATATGTTTAGCTTTAAAATATTTAATTGTAGAATAGTTCATGTTCATTATTAATCAAAACAATGCAGAAGGTCATTGAAGAAAGTTCTAAGGATCACCCTAAATCCTACCACATTTTGGTGATGCTCTTTTTGAAATCTGTTTTTGTACATAGACATAAGCACACTTAGATCTTTCTTTTCTTTTTTTTTTTTGACGGGAAATAGCATTTATTGTGAGCGTGATTAAGGAGGGAACAGAGCTGATGCTCATGAGTGTAGGGCCCGCCATTTGTCCAGGGGACCACGATTAGGGATGTATTTGACCCCACAGCCGTCCGGGATGAGTCGCTTTTCTGCCATCATGTTCTCAAATTCATCTGCATTGACCTGGTAAATCCCCACTTCTTGGAGATGTGAATCTTCTGACGGCCAGGGAACTTGAACTTGGCCCGGCGGAGGGCCATGCTCCTTGTTCTGCAGCTTGGTGTGGATGGACATTATGACTGGCCAATGTGGACCCTGGCCACTGTGCCCTGGGGCTTTCCAAAGGCACCTCGCATACCTGTCTGGAGTCGAGATTGAGAAACAGCAGGCCAGTCATGAATGCCCACTAGGAAGAGTTGTCTCCAGGGTCCCTTAGGGCTATCTGTACAGGCAATAGGTTGCATACACTACCAAGGAGGCTGCTGTTTGCAGCCATTCACACAGATCTTTCTTTTCCATACGTGGAACCTTTCTTTTTATCTGTGTTTTACAGTATTTTTTAACCCAAACCTTTTTTTTTTATTAATTGAAAAACTATTGGCCTCCTTGAGTATGATTTGAAATTTCACAGTAAATTAAATAACATGACCAAAACCAGTTTTAGACTGAGGTAATTTAAAAAGGGGAAACAGTTTAATCTTAAACAAACCATTAGGTAAGATGACATTGGCTTGTTTCCCATCAAGCTGTTTATCCTAAGAAATATGGAAGACAGCATAACAAGATATCTTAAGTAATTTGCTCAACGTTTCCTTGGAGGAGGAGCTGAGTGCTGTCTAGGGGGGAGAGGCAGCTTAGCCTTTCTTCTCTGCTCCCTTGAACAGCTTGGTTCTTGGCCCCAAATTTGTGTATACCTCTCAGCCAGACTGAAGCCCTGCAGTTAACTGGAGACTAGCTGATGTAACCCATGCATAGTCCCGCTTGAGGACTGTTACCCCTGCTATCATCCCCACTTCAAGTAAGTGATCTTTCCAACATCAGACAGGGCTCTTTTTTGATGAGTTTTTCTTCTGTCTTCTTTTTTGTGTGTGTGCAGCCTTTAGTGGCTCTTTTAGATTGGCTGGCCCTCCCACAGATCTGCCTCTGTTTCCAGGAAGAATTGGCTGTCAGCTGACAGTTTCAGCTCTTGACTTCCCTTCTCCCTCAGCTTGCTTCTCTCCTAGTTGTCCCTGTTGAGTAAATCCTCTCATCTCCATCGCCCCTGCTGTTTCCCCAGCCCAAGGGCCCAGCATCTTTCTTGGCTGTAACGGATTCTTCTCTGGTTTCCTGGTTTCTGTTTTACCTTTTCACAGTCCCCTTTTCCATACAGTGTACTGGATAATCTTTTAAAAACTTAGACTCAGATAAGTTACTCTTCCTAGAACCCTCCTTTGTACTGAGAATAAAGCCTGAATTAATCGCCACCGCTTCCGTGGCTCTGCGTGGTCTGTCCCTTGTGTATCTCTTGTCCTGATCTTTTGCTGTTCTGATCTCCTGCAGTCACTCTGCTCTAGCTGCACTGCCCAGACTTAGCAAGATTCCTTCCCGCAGAAATACCCAACTTGTTCCTGCCTTCACGCCTTTGCACCAGCTGTTTCCTCTGCCTGGAATGCTCTTCACCAGAACTGTGCATAGTTGGCCCCTTTGCATTATTCAGGTTTCGGATTTCACCACCTCCAAGGGTCGTTTCCAGTCTTCCAGCATCATGTGGCTCCTGTTTTATTGCAGCTCCCTGTTTTATTTTCTTCATCACATTTAGCAATCTTAAGCTATCTTTGTACATTTGTCTCTCTCTCTCTCTCTCTTTTTTTTTTTTATCATTTCTCCTTCCCTTGCCAGAATTTAAGTATCATGAGACTGTAGCTTTTGTCTGTCTTGTCCACCCTGTATTCCTAAGACATGCAACAATGTTCAGTCAGTCTTATCTAAGTGAAAAGAATCAGTGAGTGAATCACTCAGATGGAGAAATATATTTTTTCTGCCCTGAGGTGGCTGGAACCAGCCATTCAAGTAGAAAGGGAGGAAGGTGAAAGGGCAGAGCACAAAGACACTTTCCTAGTCCTGGTTTAAGCATAAAGTGAATAATATAAAGTATGGCACCACAGTGACTGTAATTATTTCAAAATTTAATTCACATTGTAGAAGGATGAGTTTATTCAAATTAGAATCAGATTAACCTTGAGGATTTCCTGTACTATTAATAACTTCAGTCATTAAGTGATGTAGGTGATTTGATCTTCAGGCCTCCAAAGACACTTGATTGTATGCTTATTTGTTAAATTATTTAAAAACATTGTTGAATATAATGGAAGAGAAAAAAAGTCTTAGTGTTGCTTGTAGAGTCATTTCTGTCATTAGATTATACTTCATATTTTATGTTAGTGTTTAAGTGTTTTCCATGAGTGTTTTCAAAGAACTACTATGTTGTAGGCTAGAAAAGATACTATAAGAGAGATATTTTAATATCTTCAATAAAATGTGCCCCAAAGAATTTTTTATTTGAAAGGTAAAGGAGACTGTGATCTTAAAACTTGTAAAAAAATTAAAGTAAGTTACTCTGTAATTATTAGTGCAGCTTTGTTGTTTAGTTTATAAACTAATGTTTTTATCAGCCCCTAAGGATAAAGAGGAATACTCGACCTGGTGTGCACACTCAGTCACTCAGTCTGGTTTATGCTAAATACATTAAAATTTGTCTACTTTTCTCTTTCACATTCACAGAGTTATAGTGAATTACTATTATTACTATTCACAAAGTAATAGTAAATCTAATATGAGCTCAGAGTTAGTGTTTTTAGAGTCAGCACTTCTCAAATTTAGTTTCAAATGCCGGTTGCCTTTCACAGTGGCCATCTAGGGAAGTGGTACGTTTGTTCCAACAGTGCTTCCTTTTCTTAAACCACTTATGCAGGTTCATTTTCAGAAATGTTTCATAGGCAGTTTTGGAGTTATGAAAAAATTTAGCCTTCTTACTGTACCAATGAAAAGCTTTGCTTATTTTTTTGACTAAATGAAGACATACAACTTCCTCAACTGACTTCATGTTAATATTTTATTAATTTATGAAGCCAATATTGCTGTTACACAGTTGAAGTTATGACTCAGAAGATCATGAGAGATAGCTTACAGAGTAAATCTGTGTAAAGAACAAAGAACATTGTATAACTTTACGAAGTAATAGATTTAAAAAAAAAACAACAAGCTGTTGAGACCTGGGTGACTAACTCACCCCCCCCCTTTTAAATTTGCATTTTATCTGAAACTGAGTGCAGAGCATTGTGCTCTGCTACAGATGTAAGTTATGGGGTGCCAAATCTAGAGGAAGCGCCTTGTTTTCAGGGAAAGAGAGAAAACCATCTGGTACCAGAAAAAGGCCAAAAGTGGGCTCTTTTTAGTACTAACTGAGTGAAAACTAAGAGTCTATATATAAAATATGACCATAAAACTACGCTTCTTTTACAATTCTTGGCATCAAAGACTACAGACCTGTTTTGGATCATGTACCTGTTTTCAAAGTTGAGATATACTTCTTTGAGAGAAGTAGCTGAAGCAACGTTGGTATTTAATGTTAGAAGGCATATAGGTTTTATTGTGAGATAAATGAATTATTTCTTTGAGCACAGGTCTTATTTTGTCTTAGCCTCCATGACCATTAAGCGCTTTTATTTTGGTCTATAAGTCAGTGTTTTAATCATTGGTCTGTAAGGATTATTTTTAATTAACTTTATTACATATAAATATGTGGGGTTTTGAGAAATGCTTTTCTTTTCTTTCTTTTTTAAAAAGCTGCACGTCATTGACTCCTGGACCCAACTGTGACCGATTTAAGTTGCATATACCATATGCTGGAGAGACATTAAAATGTAAGTAAATGATGACTGTTTTACTGAAAATGTAGATTACAGTGCTAGCTATTGGACTTTGTGCTTTAGTGTTTTTATTTCTGGCTTTTAAGTGTTATCTCATAAGATATCAATCAGATATCTTATGATTTACCACTTTTTGAAAATTTGTCTTTTAGTCCTAGTTCTAGTCAAAGTAAGACAGTTGGCAGGCAGTAAGTTGTGGTCAAGTGGACATGCACGTGTTTTATCTTCTATAACAAAGATCAGAAATATAAATGACTATAAGGCCAGACTGGTAACATGAATGAGGGACGTAGGCTAGGGGTGGCAAATTGGAGCACTCAACCCAGTTTTGAGTGGTTACCCTTTACTGATTTATTGAGAAAAGGTGGAAATCTGCATTTTTATTTGAATTCTCTCAGTTTTAGACATTGGCCACTTCTTGAAAATTACAGTGTGGGCCAGCATTATGTAGGCCACACCAAATGTGTGTATGGGCTGCCTTGAGCTCTTGAAACTCTGGTTTGTGACCTTGGTGAATAATATGCAAGACCTTCTGTTGGATTTAGTCCACCATCTGCAGCACTTGCCTAGGTTGTGTCAGCACTTCTCTGCCGTAATCACCAGGACTAAAGCTGTAGCCTGTGATGATGGAGATGATGATCACTTTGGTTGGTTAGTATCAGTACTCTCATCAGAAATTTTCCCTTGAAACCATTCTACTGAACAGGGTATGAAAGTCTGACTTTTCTTACAAAGAGGAATAAAGAACCAAGATATTGAAGGTGGGACAGGTGGGTAAGCAGTACCTTTCAGACCATGGATTGTATGTTTTGCCATTTTAGGACAGAAAAGGCCACATCTTAATATTTGTAGAATCACTCTATATTAATTTACCAATTGCAACATGAACTGAAAAATTTGTGACGTGCTGACCTGTTAACCTTTTATTGTTAGGTCATTCTCTGGAAACCATTAAAATAGAAAAGAATTTCACCTGACTGAGATAGTAGGACATATTGGATTGCTACTTTTTTGGGGAAAAATATTATTAAGTAAATTTGAAAGAAATGTGAATGGTGAAAAATGTAAGTAGTTCAGACATTTTTTAATATATGAAAGCAGTGGTCCTCTGTTCCATTTCTCTCCCATCCTAGTAGACCTATGTCTCAGAGGAACCACTTAACACCTTAAAAAAAATGGTTTCAGTGTCCAGTTCTCCTGGGGATGACCTCCATATACCTAAGCAATACGCTCATGCCTCTCTTTCTTGGCTTACCAGTTTTAGACGTTGCTGCCTTTTGACTTCCTGCACTGATGCATGAGGTATCAGCCTGTTTTCATTGTACCGTTTCTCTCTCTCTTGTCATCTTCATCTTATAAAGTTACATTGTTGTAATTATATCATCAGTATTGGTTCCTGTATTGGGAAACAAGGCAACAGTGAGAGACTTTATTTTCTTGGGCTCCAAAATCACTGCAGATGGTGACTGCAGCCATGAAATTAAAAGACGCTTGCTCCTTGGAAGAAAAGCTATGACCAACCTAGACAGCATATTAAAAAGCAGAGACATTACTTTGCAAATGAAAGTCTGTCTAGTCAAAGCTGTGGTTTTTCTAGTAGTCATGTATGGATGTGAGAGTTGGACTATAAAGAAAGCTTTCACCGAAGAATTGATGCGTTTGAACTGTGGTGTTGGAGAAGACTCTTGAGAGTCCCTTGGACTGCAAGGAGATCCAACCAGTCTATCCTAAAGGAAATCAGTCCTGAATATTCATTGGAAGGACTGATACTGACGCTGAAACTCCAATACTTTGGCCACCTCATGTGAAGAACTGACCTATTGGAAATGACCCTGATGCTGGGAAAGACTGAAAGCAGGAGAAGAGGGCGACAGAGGATGAGATGGTTAGATGGCATCACTGACTCAATGGACATGAGTTTGAGTAAACTCTGGGAGTTGGTGATGGACAGGGAAGCCTGGCATGCTGCAATCCATGGGGTCTCAAAGAGTCAGACACGACTGAGAGACTGAATTGAACTGATTGGTTACCCTGTAGCTTCAATTTTTTTTTTTTTTAAAGATTATTTGATGTGGACCACTTTTAAAGTCTTTATTGAATTTGTTACAGTTTTGGTTCTCTTTTTTTATGTTTTGATTTTTTGGTCCCAAGGCATGTGGGATCTTAGTTCCCCGACCATGGGCGGAACCCCCACCCCCTGCATTGGAAGGCAAAGTCCTAACCATTGGACTGCCAGGGAAGTTCCTTTTTTTTTTTTTTTTTCAAAGACTCATTTAAAGCATTGTATTGTATAGTTTAGTGAACAGCTCCTAAAAATTCTTAGTAAGTGCCTGGCACACAGTTACCACTGTTGTTTCTTAAGCAAAATTTCTGTGCAATAATGATGCTCACTTAGTGTGCTTTTCTTTAGTTTCACATTAGCCTAAAGAATCCCATGGACAGAGGAGCCTGGTGGGCTACGGTGACTGAAGCAACTTAGCATGCTTGCGTGCATTGGAGAAGGAACTGGCAAGCCACTCCAGTATTCTTGCCTGGAGAATCCCAGGGACAGAGGAGCCTGGTGGGCTGCTATCTATGGGGTCGCACAGAGCCAGACACGACTGAAGCGACTTAGCAGCAGCAGCAGCAGCAGCCAGAGACGGTGTCTTTTGGCTCCCGACTTTGTAAGATGATGATAATAACCCCTGTCCTCCTTCACCTCCCAATTTTTGTCTTCTATTATTTTCTTTTTGCATTGTCAAAGTTGATAACTTATTGTCTGTTCTAAATCTGTAGTTGCCGTCTGTGCTTTGTCTATAAATTGCTTGACTGATTACCTTACAGACCTGCTCCTGCAGTTATCACTGTAGGATTCACCTTTATTCTCTTGGGTTTGACCTTGCTTTAAAAAAATTACCTGAAAAACTCTCAAATTGTTACCCTTTGGGGTGCCTCAGTGCTTCAATATGGAGGCCAAACTAAAACCTCGTTAGATTTCCAGATGGAAATTGTTTTTTAATATCTGTTGATATTAAAATATGATAGTCATCAAAATAAATGAGACCAACTGCATAAATTTTGAAACAAGTTACTGCTCTCTGATAGTATGAACTAGAAAAATTTATATAAATAAAATCAAAACAGATGAACAAACCCTTCAAATACCTAGTTAAAATTCAAGTAAAGATCCATTGAACTTACTGGACTGGTGTTTTGTGACTCTGCCCACCTAATGTCAGTGATTGTATAGCAAGGTTATTTTGCTTTCCTTAATTTGTGCAACTTTTAGGCCATGGCAATTAAAGTTTCTCTCTTTGTAATTGTACTTATTTAAATTATTTCAAAATTAAATCTCTCTACAGTATTTTATACAGTTTATCCCTTGGTATCGACAGGATTGGTTCCAGAAGCCCCTGCAGATACCAAAATCCATGGATACTCAAGTCCCTTAGATAAAATGACATGGTACATTCGGTCCTCCATACTCAGGGGTTTCACATCCATGAATATGGAGGGCTGACAGTAAATGTTTCTAAGCGGAGTTTGTTGAATCATGATGCATCAATGGTAGTAGTAATGTAAACAACTTCTTTTTTTTTTTTTTCATTTATTTTTATTAGTTGGAGGCTAATTACTTTACATCATTGCAGTGGTTTTTGTCATACAGTGAAATGAATTAGCCATGGATTTACATGTATTCCCCATCCCGGTCCCCCCTCCCACCTCCCTCTCCACCCGATCCCTCTGGGTCTTCCCAGTGCACCAGGCCCGAGCACTTGTCTCATGCACCCAACCTGGGCTGGTGATCTGTTTCACCCTAGATAATATACGTGTTTCGATGCTGTTCTCTTGAAACATCCCACCCTCGCCTTCTCCCAGAGTCCACAAGTCTGTTCTATACATCGGAGTCTCTTTTTCTGTTTTGCATATAGGGTTATCGGTACCATCTTTCTAAATTCCATATATATGTGTTAGTATACTGTAATGGTCTTTATCTTTCTGGCTTACTTCGCTCTGTATAATGGGCTCCAGTTTCTTCCATCTCATTAGAACTGATTCAAATGAATTCTTTTTAATGGCTGAGTAATATTCCATGGTGTATATGTACCACAGCTTCCTCATCCATTCGTCTGCTGATGGGCATCTAGGTTGCTTCCATGTCCTGGCTATTATAAACAGTGCTGCGATGAACATTGGGGTACACGTGTCTCTTTCAGATCTGGTTTCCTCAGTGTGTATGCCCAGAAGTGGGATTGCTGGGTCATATGGCAGTTCTATTTCCAGCTTTTTAAGAAATCTCCACACTGTTTTCCATAGTGAACAACTTCTTTATCTAATAGTTCTCATTGAAAACTTGTGGTATGTGATTTAAACTATACTTTTAACTAAGGCTGAATCAAAGTATTTGGAGTTTATTTATTACATAACTTTAAACTCAGTGAAGTTAGAGATGGAGACCTTTTTGTTTATTTTATTAAATTATATCTTCAGTCCCTAGCACTGTAAAGATACTCAGTTAGATATTTATTGAAGGAATGTGATGAATGCATGAATGAATTTTTGAATCTCAGTGTTCAGATTTTTGTTGGTTGAAGTATAGTGTAGTAAAGAATGTGACATTCTGTTACTTGTATCAGCCTTTTGCCAACAGAAATTCAATCTTTAGAAGTTATTTATTACACAAGGAATTTGTAATTGGAACATTGCTCTTAACAATTCAGAAAACAGGAAGGACATACAGTATTTTGCAGATTTGGAATCTGTTTCCATTTTCTTTATATATTTTACTGTGCCTTCTTAAAGCAGATTAATGAAAATAATATGACTAAATTTTATGTTTTGGAATGTTTTATGTACTAGGAAATAGTTCTTCTATAAATGTTTCATCTGGAATAAAGGAAGCTGAATAAAGGAAGCTTTGCAGTTAATAATAGTGAAAATGAAAGACCAAGGAGAGGGCATATTTCTACCTGTAAATTTATGAATTGATTCCTAAGAATTATCCACATGTATAA